AGAGAAAGGAAGGAGAGGAGGAAGAAGAGAAGAGAAGGAAGCAGGAAGGAAAGGTAAACAAGGATGGGACAGGGTGGAGAGGATGCATCAGGGCTGGTCTGTTGGGGTCTGTTTACTGATGCAGTCATTGGGAGAGGAGGGGGAGAGAGAGGAAGAGTGGAGAGGAGAATTTTAGCCAGCTATGTCTGCATCATGCACATGCAGTCCTGCAGGTCAAATCTGGATAAAATATTCAGGGCTCGAATGTACAGGCGTCCACAACAGTGTGACGGGACAGCAGCGAGCAAGCAGCCAGTTCCTGCTTACAGAGACATCACAGCAAAGACCTGTAATACGGTGCCAAATCCATGTAAGGCTCTTGAAACTATGCCACGCACGATGGTTCAACAATCCTCTATAGCACAAACGCTTCAGAGCCAAGCAGAGTACTCTTTAATCAGAGTTCAAATGATTTCCCTTGTTATTGCACTTTGAGTGTGGTAATACACTGTGGAGGGTGGGAGATTATTACTGCGATGCTTTCATTTATTGCACGAACAATCTTATCTGTACATGTTTGCAAGTCCGGGGCACAAATAACTTGGATTTAGAACCTAATATAAGAATTCTCGCGGGATTTCTTTCATTCCAGCTCAATTTGGAGTCGTAAAACCCGACAGATAGCCTCTGACAGAGAAAGGCTGCGCAAACATCTCCAGGGGTTTGTGAGCCTATTGCCTGGATCAAACTTTGTATGTAACTCTGCAACGTAACAGCTCTGGTCCCCAGACACAGCCTCGGTCTCAGCGCTGACACACTCCGAAATGCTGTTATATAAAAGCAGCCTCGTAGTGGAGCATAACACTGGAGACGTAGAAGGAAGGTACAGTGAGATAGAAGGTTACAGGAAAGTAATGACAAGAAAAAAGGCAGGAAACTAGAGATTGTGAGTGAAGTGATGTCATGTACAATATGGAAGTGGCAAAGTTTAATAGCCTAGAGCGTCGCAGCATTATAAAGCTCTTAGCCACAGACATATTTAATCTATCTATAGCTAAATATCTAAACTTTTAAGCATGTTATAATTAAATACATTTTAAATAATATTCAACATTTTCCAGTAAACTTTTGGCAATTTAAATATATATATTTACATATATACTATACATTTCTAGTAGGATTCAAATGAAGTTGTAATTTTGGAAATCACACACTGAGAGAGCAAAC